TAGAGCGTTGTTCTCAAAATGACAGTTAATTATCAAATTAAACACAGAAGGAAAAATTGATTTACGCATGTTCGAGAAGAGATTGAGTGAAGAGGGGGAGGGGATCAAAGTGATAGGGTTCCATAATTGACAATTCGGGATAGGAATAGGAAAAAGCTGAATGCTTTCAATCGGTTTCTTTCTTTTTTCTACATAAAAAACCTTATGCTTTTTTATTTACGCTTTATCCAGTCAAAGGTATTCACAGGTTTAATCTAAAGTATTTCAGGACTAAATGTAAAAATTCATTTCTTAAAGAAAGAAACGTTACGTCCCTGGCGGTGTGCTTTATCATGGACTCACATAAATCATTAAAGATAATTATCATGAGTTAAAAGAGAATTAGGGAAGAGAATAGATTAAGTTCATTCTTTTCTGAGACAACAATTATTCCAAATTAATCTGGAGACTGTTGACATACGAAAGTCTACATAGAATAGTAAGGAAATATTTAGCAAATATCAAAAACGTCTTCTAGACCAAAACATATCAGAATAATGTAGTCCTCTTTACAGTTTCGGGCGTTAATTTAACATCTTGATTTAAATTTTAGAAATCCATGGAAAATCCCCCTGTACGTGCACTTTGATATCGAAAATAATAAATCTTATACACGTAGGATTTATCTGTCACTAAAATTTGCTTCACACCAAATTTATAGTCTCATCTCTGTACCTTTCAAAGAAAAACGGTTTTTAATTTGTGATACCGATAAATGTTACTTCACTGTTTTATTGTATGCCGTCTCTTCTAGAAATTTACAATCTTGGAACGCCCATTGCTTGTATCTGTGATTTAAGGTTTTTAGGAATATTTGCAAATGCACAATTATGTTTTATATTATTTACTTTTATTACAAATATTGCAGAGAGATTAAGAAAATTTCACCTAAAAACTGGAAAAAAAATCCATTGCTTCCCTTTTAATCTACATATCATTACTTTTTATGTAGTTTTGATCGATTTACAATGCACTTTATTCATTTGTGTTGTGTAATTTTTATTTGTATTACCGGGTGTATATTTTTTTTTATCTGTATTCAATATTTTCCATTTGAATTTATAATGTTTAGTTTGTGTTTATATTCCTTATTTGTTTGGTAAAATTTATTATTTGTGTTCGATATTTTATTTTATTTGTATTGTATCCGAGAATTGTTTATTTGCTATGTTACGAAGGATTTCAGTGGTAACTTTATAAAGTCTTAGCTTCTATCGTTTTGAAAACGAGCATCGAGTGTTCAAAGCAAACTGTGCTGCTTCATATGTAAATTTTCTTCTCTTCTTTCTGGTCATCTTGATATTAGGTATTCTTTAGTGCCAGTGCTTAAAAAATAATCTGATTCGGTAATTGCCCCCCCTCCGATTCCAATAACAGTCCCAGTTTTTGGTGGGCACCCAAAACATAACTTGCTTGGTTTGAACGCTAACTAGGTTTATGCAGAATAAAACTGAAATCCTTCGTAGAGAAATAAATAAGATTCCCTTAGATACAATACAAATGAAATTTGATGCAATACAAATAAGTAATTATACGATGCAAATACGACATTTATAAATAAGAAGATATGGAATACAAATAATTTTTACAAAACAAATGGAAATATAGAATAAAAATATTAAATGTTTTACAATCCAAATGAAAAAGAAAACATAGAATACAAATAGAAAGTCATACAATATAAGAGATTATTATATAGTCTATTTATATTCCCTATATAATCTATACAATCGCAAACAGTTCGTAACACTACATATTCACCGGATTTGAGGCCGTATTCACCGGAGGGTCAATGCGCGTGCAACGGCATTGTGACGTCACAATCAAAACATCGAATAACGTTGTAAACTATGGTTGCAACGGCCGCATCGAGCTACGTAACAATTATTCAAACCTATATCAGGATTATTTTTTAACATTTGGACGTCTCACACATAGCGGAACTCGGAAAGGAAAACTAGAAGGTCACAAACAGTAATCTGAAGATTTTTTTTCATTTTCAACAATGGAAGATCGCAAATGAAAATGGTCTCGCCATACAGCCTTCAATGCCTTATCTATTATAATCCCCGACTATATAATAAAACAATATTATGGACTCTTTTGGTGTTGAATATGGTTTGTTATTCACCATATTCAACACCAAAAGAGTCCATTATTGTATACCGGTAATATACGATACAAATGCAAAATTATACATTACAAAAAGATTAAATATTGCAACGTTCAAAATTAACAACAAGATTAGATTGAATTCCTACTAAAAAGATCATACAGCAGAACTGTCTCTTTCTGGTTTCAATAATTATCGGTTCTAATAAATGCTTTTTGTCTTTCATCACCATCATCATCATCATCAACATCAGCTTTTGAATATACTATTATTTCAATTTCTTCATGTTGTAGTATAAAGAGGAAACCACACAGTCTATCATCTGTCCTCAAATCCACAAATTCATATGATCGCACTGAATTACAGCTGAGATAAACCAATTCTAGACTTTTTTTCATCCACGTTTTATTTACCAACATAATGTTCTTATCTCAATTTTTTTTCGATTTTTTGGTGTTGATCTGTCTTCAAACATTATACATTTAAACATTATACATTTAAAGTACTTAATTTAGTCTTGTCTCATTTAAAAGATCAAACGTCTTTCGTTTTGTAACGCCATAGACCTCTGCTAAAAACAAAATCATATATGATGGAATATCTTTGAGCAAGCAAAGCACCAAGGAACCCTATATAATGAATTTAAATATTTTTTAAGCATTTATGGAAATTTGTCCATAGAAATGAATGCCCCATGTATATTAATGAGGCAACATGAAAACTTGTATTAGTGTATGAAATCTAATAAGAATATGTCTTAGACAGTTCCTTTTAAATTGATATCTAACAAGAGGCCCAGGGGCCACAGCGCTCACCTGAGCACATCAGGCTTGAATTTATCCCCCCCCCAACATTTGAACAAATTAGAATCTACACTACCTGAGGATGATTCCATATAAATATCACTAATCATAGCTTTGAAGTACTTGAAAAGAAGATTTTAAAAGGTTTCCCTATATATTCCTATGAAAAACTTGGGTCGGCAATTTTGGCCCCACCCTTGCCCCAGGGGTCATGATTTGAACAAACTTGAATCTACACTACCTGAGGATGATTCCACATGAGTTTCATCTTTCCTGGCCCAGTGGTTCTGAAGAGGAAGATTTTTAAAGATTTTTCCTAAATACTCCTATGTAAAACTTGGGTCGGCCATTTTGGCCCCACCCTTGCCCCGGGGGTCATGATTTGAACAAACTTGAATCTACACTACCTGAGGATGATTCCACATGAGTTTCATCTTTCCTGGCCCAGTGGTTCTGGAGAAGAAGATCTTTAAAGATTTTTCCTATATATTCCTATGTAAAACTTGGGTCGGCCATTTTGGCCCCACCCTTGCCCCGGGGGTCATGATTTGAACAAACTTGAATTTACACTACCTGAGGATGATTCCACATGAGTTTCATCTTTCCTGGCCCAGTGGTTCTGGAGAAGAAGATTTTTAAAGATTTTTCCTATATATTCTGTAACGTGGAATGAGCCAGGCTTTCCTTTTCAAATCAAAACAAGAATGTCTTCAAAGAAAACAAGAATTTATTTACAAAAAAAAAATAAAGAAAAGACAATCAAAATAATAAATCACACAATCACACACACGCACACTCTCTCAAATGATCGAACAAAAAAAATGTTATTTACAATGAAAGAAAAAAAAACAGATTTCTAAACAACTGTTTTCAACACGTGTTCTCAACAACTCAAACCTATCAACATTGCCAGTATTGTCCACATCAATACGAAAGTCCACAAGTCAGATCAACACTATCCTCCAAACTTCCGGGCTGTAGTCCTAGACTGTTGTTTGAGGATCAGTAGTATTGATTCACGACTGCTAGTGATTCCCGCGCCTAAACATCATCATCGACTTCGTCTTCATCAACATCATCATTGACATCATCGTCATCGACATCATCGTCGTCATCATCACATCATCGACATCATCGTAGTCATCAACACATCAGAGTACCCATAACACCTCAGCATGGTGCTAAAATATTAACTATCCTTTATCAGTAAATAATTATGTACTCTACTTATGGCAATACTATAATATAATTATACTGGCTTTAATTAATAACCATATAGTTATGTTTGAGTTCAATATAACATAAACACTAAGATACTTTCAATATCTTCAGTTTGTTTACAGTTGACATAGATACAAAATGGCTGACAACACTTCCGGTCACTTACTTCCGCTCAGACATTTAAATGAAAAAGTAATACAGCGAACAAAAATACAATAAAATATAGAAACAGGCTGTTCTTTAAATGTATAGAATTCACTAACAGCGATAAAACTTCTAACGAGAAAACCTATTCAAACACTCTCGCAAACGTCACACCTGAACACACACACAGGTAAGTCATTGATGACTGCCTGCCAAGGTGAATTTATGTAACGAATTTTAAAAGTACATTTAATACAACGTAACTTGCAAAAATACTTACCACGGTCTGTTTTTCCGTGCAAAGATAGACTAGTATGCAGATATCTTGCTGCAAATTAGTCACATGCTGTTGAAACTATCAAATCTGCCCTGACCCATTAACATGTCTTACACGGTGGACAGCTCTGCCGGGAATACCTTGCTATTGTTACCTGTTCTGTCGGCCAAAATTCTGCAAGGAATTCTGGGTGCTTTACTAAAGAGGTGCACGAAGGGCAAAAGTTGAAATGAACAAAGGGGTACCCTAAAGGTTAAACTAGTGATTGTTACACACCTCCCTCCTATAAGAAAATTGTCATACAATTTTTTCAAGAACAATCACTATAGGACAAAAATTTGGAAAATTCTGAACGTATTTACAGTAATCTATATACATACCTTGAATCGTCTACTACTGTCGTCTACTGCCGACTTAGATAGTCTGCTCCCACGTTCTCACTTCCCTTTATTGCTACGATTCTGAAATGGTATGGTTGTAACTGTAATGCCCAACGCATCAATCTCGAATTTTCTGTCTTTGCTCTGTTCAGGTACATCAAGGGTTGATGGTCGGTTTCTAGCACAAAGTCTTTTCCATACAAATACTGATGAAATTTCTGGATTCCCCAGACCACTGCCAAACACTCCTTTTCAATAACTGCGTACGACTTCTCCCTCTTCTGTAGTTTTCTGCTAGCGTATGCCACGGGGAATTTCTCATCACCTTCCATCTGAAGTAAGACTGCGCCTATTCCTTCGTCTGCAGCATCAGTGCGTAGAATAAAAGGTTTCTGTATGTCAGGTAGCTTCAGAATAGGTCTAGAGCATAACAACTGTTTTAAAGAATCGAACGCTCCCTGTTGACATTCTGTCCATTGAACTCTATTAGGATTACCTTTTTTTGTAAGGTCAGACAATGGTATAGCTATCGCTGAAAAGTTAGGGATAAACTTCCTGTAAAATCCGGCTAAGCCTAGAAAAGAACGAACTTGTTTTTTCGTTTCTGGTATTGGTGCATTCTTGATTGCTTCAATCTTGTCGTCTTCTGGCTTCAAACGTTGATCATTTACGAGATAGCCTAAACAATCAATCTGCTCAGAATCCAATGAAACATTTGGTAGGTCTTGCTGTAAGGCCTGCATCTCTCAGTCGAGTGAACAATATCTTCAGCGTGCTTAGATGTTCCGCAAATGTATCAGTAAACACCATGATGTCATCTATGAAATTCTCTACATTTTCCATGCCATGAAGAAGATTGCGCATCAGTCTACTGAAAGTCGCTGGGGCGTTTACTAACCCAAATGGCATCTTTCTGAATTGATATAATCCAGCGGGTGTAGAAAATGCAGTCAATGGTTTGCTATCCTCTTCCATTTGCACCTGCCAATATCCTTTGCTCAGGTCGATTTTAGAAATAAACTTCTTTCCTGTTAGTTTGGAAAATATGCTGTCTGGATTAGGCATTGGCTCCGCATCGAAAACTGTGACGCTGTTAAGCTTTCGGAAGTCAATGCAAAATCGGTTTGTCCCATCTTTTTTCCTTGCAATAACAACTGGTGCTGAATATGGGGAAGAAGAATGTTCAATGACCTTCATCTGTAGCATCTTCTCTACTTCTTCTCTGATGACATTTTCTGTGTTGAAGGGGATAGGATACGGTTTCACTCTCACTGGCTCCTTCGACGTCAATTCTATCTTATGCTTCACCAAGTTTGTAGTTCCTGGAATGTCTGTGAAAACTTCACTAAATTGTTCACACAACGACTTAACAGTTTGTGTCTGCTCTGACGTAAGGCGTTCTGCAAAATGAATGTCTTTCACTGATTCAGTCTGAACACTTGAAGGTAACAAAATAGAATCCTGTGTTACATTGCTGTCTTCATCACTAAAGTCTATCAGAGAAACTGCACATGCTGATAAAGCTTCCACTTTCGGTACATCTCTCTCGACATACTTTTTCAGCAAATTTGCATGGTACGTTTTCGACTTGCCTCCCAGATCAACCGTATAGTCCATAGGTCCCATCTTTCGTATGACACTGTAAGGTCCCTTCCACTGCATGAGAAGTTTGTTTGACTTCGTTGGAAGGAGGACTAACACTCTATCTCCTTCTTTCATCTGCCGATTACTTGTCTTCCTGTTATAATATTTTCTCTGACGTGTCCTTGCATTCTCAAGATGTTCATGGGCGATCTTGCACGTTTCTTCCAGTCTTTGTCTTAAATCAAGTACATACTGATATGTAGTTTTGACTTCTTCGTCTGGAATCTCTTTGGTTAATAACTCCTTCAGAATCATCATTGGTCCTCGAACAGAATGTGCATACAAAAGATCAAATGGAGAAAACCCAAGACTCTCTTGCGGTACTTCACGATATGCGAACAGTAATGGATTCAGATATTTATCCCAGTCCCTGGGTCTTTCTGCGCACATCCTTTTGAGCATCTGTTTTAGTGTTCCATTAAACTTCTCCACGAGCCCATTGCACATTGGATGGTATGGGGTAGTCGTAATTCGCTTGAAAGACAAAAGTCGACTCACTTCCTTCATCACATCAGATGTAAACTGAGTCCCTTGATCCGATAGCATCTCTGTAGGAACGCCCACTCTACTAAAGATGTCAACCAGTGCTTCTGCTACACGCTCAGTTTCTATTCCGGGAAGTGCGATCGCCTCCGGATATCGAGTTGCATAGTCAACCACTGTAAGAATGTATCGATTACCCTTATCAGTAATCGGTTGGAGGGGTCCTACGATATCAACTGCCACTCGTTGAAACGGAACTGTGATAAGTGGCATGTGTCCTAGGGGTACTGCAGGAACTTTGCCTTTGGATATAGTTCTTTGACACACATCACATGATTTACAGAATCTCCTAATATCTGCTTGGATCCCTGGCCAATAAAATTCTGCCATGATTCTGTCTGTTGTTTTCCTCACTCCCAGATGTCCTGCCATTATCGATTCATGTGCCAGCTTCATTACCATGTCTCGATACTGTTTTGGTATGATGAGTTGTCGGAAAACTTTTCCATTAGAAACTCTTGGACTGCTGAACTCTCTGTATAACAGTTGTTTTCTGAAGTAAATTTTCGAAGAACCTCCATCACTGAATTGCTTCACTGTTCCCTTTTCCGCCGTTTCCCTCAGTTTCTTCAGTGTCTTATCGTCCCTTTGTTCCTTTTGTAAGTCCTCGGGTGATACATCCTGTATGGCACTTGGTACCTTCAAAGGTTTGTATGTCGATTGTTTCTTTTTTAGCTGACCACGAGTTTCAACTGCTGATGTGCCTCCTGTTGAATGAATCCATGCCATATTTGGTTCATGGGGTTTCCTAACTCCTTGAATATTTCCAAGAATAAGATCATATGATGGACATTCAAAACACCAAGCGTCAACATTTCCTGTAAAGTACGGCGTATCTACTTTAACTGCTGCGACCTCGGCTTCTATCACACTTCCATCAGCTAACTTGCACTTTTGTGTTTTGCCTGTAAGTTGGTCCTTTTCTACCAAGTCTCTCCTTATCACAACACCACTACATCCAGTGTCTCGTAGTACAGTTACTAGTTTGTCGCCTACACAACCTTTCACCACTGGCATCACCATTTCACTAATTGCGACTGAGTCACCAACACAAGGTAATGTTTCCTCTCTGTGCACAGCAGATGTATCTTGGCGTCCTCTACCACGTCCAGAGTATCCAAAATTGCGTCCACGAAAGCTGCTGGAAGTACCACTCTTCGGATCATTGAACTGGTATTGTTTTGGAACAGTCTCTTGTTTTTCAGTAGCACTAGATACCTTGTTAGATGAAAACTTCCGATGAACACAGTCAAAGGATTTATGTCCGACTTTCCCACATATGTAACACTTTAATCCTGAATTGGATTTTGTTTGAGCCACTTTGTCCATGGAATGAAATTGTTTATCAGGTTGAGGTTTCCTATCGAATGAAGATCTTTGTGTGATGGAGGAAGATGTAATGTTTCTGGCCTCTGCAAACTGATCCGCGTAATGCGCCATCTCCTGAATGCTTGGAGGAATTCTCTCTTTCAAGAATAAAGCCAACTCCTTCGAACAACACAATATAAATTGTTCCCTTAAGAATAAATCCTTAAGTCCTTCATATGTTTTTGTTGTCTTTGAAAGTTCAATCCATCGTTCAAGGTAACTGTCCAATCTCACAGAGAATTGCAGAAAAGTTTCACTACCGTCCGGCTTTGACGATCTAAACTTCTTGCGAAATCCATCTTCCGTCATATCAAAACGTTTAAGAAGAGCCTTCTTCAGTTCATCAAAATCTAAGGCGGATTCTGGAGGAAGTCTTGAAAACACATCCAGAGCTTTTCCTTTGAGTAAGGCACTAAGATGAGCTCCCCAGTTATCTCTACGCCATTTCTGTGATGTCGCATAAATCTCAAAACGTTGGATGTAAGCGTCAATATTATCCTTTGAATCATCGAACGCAGGAAGTTTTGGTCCTTTAATTGGTTGATGCATTTCCGTACCATGTGATGATGAATCCAACACTTTGTGAGACCTTTCAGCTGCTAGTAGTTGAAATTTATGATCAAGTTCCATTTCTTCCATCTTGCGTTTGTGTTCCGATTCAGCAAAGAGCCGCATATGTTCACGTTCCTCGCGTCCTCTGTCTGTTCTTTCCTTCTCTATCTGCAACTGATATTCACGTTCCTCCTTCGATTGTCTTTCTTCTCTTTGTCGTTCTCGTTCATCACGAAGTCTTGATTGTTCTTCCTTCACAAAATTTTGTAGAGCCTCATCCTTGAATCCCATCTGAGTTCCAAGTTCCAGTAGCTCCTGCATCTCCTTCACAGTAGACATGATGGATGACTAAACTGAACCACCTTACCAACTTAAGTCCCAAGGAATAATAGTCTTGCTATATATATTTATCAAAGATCTTACTCAGACAGCTTACCTTCACTTAAGTATCATAAGGGAGAACCATGACTTAACTCACCAAAGCTGATCTGCATGTTGCCCTTGGATTAGCTACTCAACTCCTAACCAACGCTAACTATAATGAAAAATATAAATCAAAAAATTAATCCTGGCAAACCGTCACCATAGAAGAATTCTAGTTTGATTTAAAAAGAGAGTCTGTCATCCCACCGCTGCCACCAAATTTGTAACGTGGAATGAGCCAGGCTTTCCTTTTCAAATCAAAACAAGAATGTCTTCAAAGAAAACAAGAATTTATTTACAAAAAAAAAATAAAGAAAAGACAATCAAAATAATAAATCACACAATCACACACACGCACACTCTCTCAAATGATCGAACAAAAAAAAAATGTTATTTACAATGAAAAAAAAAACCAACAGATTTCTAAACAACTGTTTTCAACACGTGTTCTCAACAACTCAAACCTATCAACATTGCCAGTATTGTCCACATCAATACGAAAGTCCACAAGTCAGATCAACACTATCCTCCAAACTTCCGGGCTGTAGTCCTAGACTGTTGTTTGAGGATCAGTAGTATTGATTCACGACTGCTAGTGATTCCCGCGCCTAAACATCATCATCGACTTCGTCTTCATCAACATCATCATTGACATCATCGTCATCGACATCATCGTCGTCATCATCACATCATCGACATCATCGTAGTCATCAACACATCAGAGTACCCATAACACCTCAGCATGGTGCTAAAACATTAACTATCCTTTATCAGTAAATAATTATGTACTCTACTTATGGCAATACTATAATATAATTATACTGGCTTTAATTAATAACCACATAGTTATGTTTGAGTTCAATATAACATAAACACTAAGATACTTTCAATATCTTCAGTTTGTTTACAGTTGACATAGATACAAAATGGCTGACAACACTTCCGGTCACTTACTTCCGCTCAGACATTTAAATGAAAAAGTAATACAGCGAACAAAAATACAATAAAATATAGAAACAGGCTGTTCTTTAAATGTATAGAATTCACTAACAGCGATAAAACTTCTAACGAGAAAACCTATTCAAACACTCTCGCAAACGTCACACCTGAACACACACACAGGTAAGTCATTGATAACTGCCTGCCAAGGTGAATTAATGTAACGAATTTTAAAAGTACATTTAATACAACTAAAAAATACTTGCAAAAATACTTACCACGGTCTGTTTTTCCGTGCAAAGATAGACTAGTATGCAGATATCTTGCTGCAAATTAGTCACATGCTGTTGAAATTATCAAATCTGCCCTGACCCATTAACATGTCTTACACGGTGGACAGCTCTGCCGGGAATACCTTGCTATTGTTACCTGTTCTGTCGGCCAAAATTCTGCAAGGAATTCTGGGTGCTTTACTAAAGAGGTGCACGAAGGGCAAAAGTTGAAATGAACAAAGGGGTACCCTAAAGGTTAAAGTAGTGATTGTTACATATTCCTATGTAAAACTTGGGTCGGCCATTTTGGCCCCACCCTTGCCCCGGGGGTCATGATTTGAACAAACTTGAATTTACACTACCTGAGGATGCTTCCACATGAGTTTCATCTTTCCTGGCCCAGTGGTTCTGGAGAAGAAGATTTTTAAAAAATGCCATTAATTTTTAACAAATTCATGATTATCTCCCCTTAGAAAAGGGCGTGACCCTTCATTTGAACAAATTTGATTTCCCTTCACCCAAGGATACTCTCTGCCAAGTTTGGTTGAAATTTTCTCAGTGGTTCTTGAGAAGAAGATGAAAATGTGAAAAGTTTACAACGACGACGACGACGACGACAACAACGACAGACAACGGACAAATTGTGATCAGAAAAGCTCACTTGAGCCTTTGGCTCAGGTGAGCTAAAAATGGATATAGATGATAAATTTTCACCGAGTTTTGTATATAGGTGCATGTTAGTTAAACGTATATCAAATGCTTTCTTTAAAACCAAGCAAAATACAAATTAAAGCGAAGAGAAGTAAAGGTCACAAGCAAGCCTGAGGTCAAAATATATTGATGCAGTTGAGTAGCTTACATCAGCGAGTATCAACATATGAAATTTAATTGCATTTTCTTGAATGGTATTTAAAAAATGAGCTAACCTCTAGTTTTAGAAAAGTCAAAGGAAAACTCAAGGTCAAAAATGCAAAAGGTATCTAAGAGCATATGAAGGTTGATATAGACATCATCAACAGTTCCTTTGAAATTAAGCGTTGAACTGAGCTAAGCACAAAGCGCAAAGAAAGGAAAGGCATAAGGACGGAAAACGGACATGACAAACACTATATGCCCCGGCCATATTCATGGCGGGGAATGAAATAAAAATACTCATGCTTCTTTGAGGGGTGACATTATCTTAAAAGCTCAAACTCTTGATAAACTCAGCTTATTGTACATAAATTATTTATTCTTGCATGGTCTCTGAGTCTTAAAGCTTACTGGATGAAATATTCAAAGCATATGATTATGATTTTGATTATGATTATGATATATGATTTTGCTTAAATGCCTTAAATATTCGGATGTACAGTCATGTAAATCCTAAAATTGTAGAATTTTTGATAGGAATGGTAAACTGTGTTATATATATATATATATATATATATATATATATATATATATATATATATATATATATATATATATATATATATATATATATATATATATATATGTGTGTGTTACAGTAAATATGTGAAATCAGGAATTTCATGTATTTCCTAAACTATTCAGTAAATACATGTATTTACTGACAGTTTTAGGAAATACATGTAATTACTAAATAGCTAGGAAATTCGTGTATTTACTGAAAATTTTAGCCACTTTTACACGTTTTTACTGAACAATGCAGAATGAATAATATATGCATATCCTTTAAAATATTCCGTAAACATAAAAATATTGAAATTCTTTTTTTTTAAATCAGCATTTAAAAAGAATTGTTTCCACAAAGCTGATGATATGCATTAATTTTGAATTCCTTTATTGTACTTCTTATGTTAAATGAATTTTCTAATATTCATATTTCAAAAATATTTCTAAAGAACCTATTAATTTAGATCATTTAGCATCAGAATAATGTATTTGAAATAGTTTTTAAATAATTTTTATTATAACATTTATAAAAAATGTACGAATTGTAAATGGTGATATAAGGGGTACTTCTGTTTATTCGAGTCTCACATCTTTAAAATTATGGTAAAATAGATGTTTTGCAATTTTCAGTTAATTCAAACTCAATTTTTTTTTATTTTGAGCTATTAAAACTGTTAGGGGGGAAAATTCCTCAAAGTTAAATTATAATTTTAATTCCTGATTTAATTTCGTTACATTATGTGTATTTTACAAGGGGAGGGGGTTGCATTTTTGAGGAGACAGCATTAAAATTGTAAATAAGATGCTTCAGGGTTTTAAATTTACTGTCAAAAACTGTAGCATTGTATGAATATCTAATAAAATTAAATACTAGTATGTCAGTAAGCGGTTTTAGTTTTTAGATAAAAATATATAAAAATAATTGAAAGTTAGTTAAAGTATGTTGTGATATAGAAAACACATTCCAGTAAATATGAAAGCAGAGTATAATTATATTTTAAGATAACATTTACAAATAATACATTTTCAAAATTTAAACATAAATAAAAGTTTATTTCAAATATTAGGTCTATTTATTCACATATGGTCATCGTCTCAAGCCACGGTCCGGAGTCCGCATATAGCTCTCTCCTGAGGATCGTACATTTTGACCGTGGTTTGCGACGATGACATATGGTATGCTCACTGATATGATCATTGATTATACTGTGCATCTATTCATATTTTATGATTCAAATTTTAAATTATCCCACAAAAACGCAGTCAGTAAATATATGTAAAAAGTATTGAAAAGTTCAGTAATTACGTGTATTTCCTAACTGAAATTAGTAAATACGTGTATTCCCTAAGCAGAATGGTAATTTCATGTATTTCCTAAAATTCAGGAAACACGCGAAATTCCTGGTTACACATATTTACTGTAACATATATATATATATATATATATATACAATTGTTTAAGCATATGAAGGAATAGGATGTAAAAGTAATTAAGTTTGAGTTACTTCATACGGGTGAGAATAGATCGATTGACCTTCACCTCGTCAATTTCGGAAGAGCCGCTCAGCTAATTACACACCTATGTTGTGTACAGTGCAGGGAAATAATTTTGTTACAGCATCAATGCTGATTTTGGTGCTTCCTATGCTTGCTGATTTTGATGCTTCCTTTGCTTGCTGATTTTGATGCTAGTTATCCTTATCCTGATCCTGGTTTGGTCCTTATCCTGATGCTGGTTTGAAACTAGGTCAATGCTAGTAATGCTACCGGAAGTAGGATTATCCTGCCGGAAGTGGATGATTCAAAAACAGCATCGCTATTTTAAGCCATTAAAAATAATTTTCTGGGTAATTTTTATTTGTAATTTGTATTAAATGACTTTCCTTTATCTGTTTTCACTTTGGTCAATGCTAGTTCTATCCTTTGCTTGCTGATGCTGATCCAAGTAATGCTGTTTTTTTAATGCTGATGCTGATGCTAGTTCTATCCTGATCCTACTTATGCCGATCCTGATGCTGGTTTATGTAACAAAATTAGTTCCCTGCAATGTACATGTACTAACTCTCAATTAAATCCACATATATTATTTTTTAAGATTTAAACAATCATAGGTCATTTACTGTTCCAAACTGACAAGCAGCTCAGGCATAATTAGTTTAATGGCTTCTCGCAAGGAACGTGACCCATATAATTAGCTAGCTTGTCAATTAGTAAACAAACAATAAGGGCTTATACCTATTACCGGTATCTTGCGCTTGTCCTCTGATCCCGCTATTTCTACCCTCT